GCCCGCCTCTTTTTTCCCCCCGCGGTGGCCCTCGACCCCCACGGCCGGCCGGTTCCGGGACCCCCGCTGAGAGGACAGCACGGGGGCCCCTCGGCCGCGGGAGAAGAAGCGCGGAGGCAGAAGAAGCCGCCGCCCCCGGCCGGGTCCCTCCCGCGCGGTCTTTCTGGGCTGGGCCCGGGCGGAGAGCGGAGGGCGGCGGCTTGGAGCCCTCTGGCTCGGGAGCCTGGTTTTTGCTGGAGCAGGACCGGGGACCGGGACGTGATCGTGGGAGGCCGTGACGGGCACAGAAGGAAAGAGGCGCTGCGAGAAACTCGGCGGCGAGGCAAGGTGGCGGGGCGGGAAGGAGGGAGGGAGAAAGAAAAGCCGTGCGAAGGGGAGAAGGAGGCAGGCAGGCAGGCAGCGGGGGAGCCGGGGCAAAGGCGGGCGATTAGGGGCTCCCGGGTTTAGGGGTTTCTTCGTGGCAGGGCGGATGTGGGATCCTGAGGGAAAAGCTCCTTTCCACCACCGTCTCCCCCCCCCCGGCGCACCCTTTCTGCCTCTTCGTTTTGCAACGGTGGGCTTGGAGGGCATCCCCGGGCAGGAGCCGGAGGCGCCCCGGGCCTTTTGGCCGAGGGCCGAGGATGCGGTGCTGCCCTTGGCAATGCTTCCCTGAGCTGGACTTCGAGCGAGGCCGCCGGAGTGACTCAGCCGAACGCCAGTAAGCGAGCGGGGGAGACGTGAGGGGGGAAAAGTGCCGGGTCTTGTCCCCTTCAGTGCTCCAGAACCTGGCTTCTTGGCTGCCTTTAAGGATCTCACCCGCCTCTCAGGATTCCTGGCTTGCTTGCTTGCGCCCAGCTGCTCGCTGACATCTCTGTGGGTTGCTGGAAAAGGGGCCTGGCTGGTGCAGGATAGGGATCGCGTTGAAGGAAGACAAGGGCAGAGAGGGAAAAGCGGGGCCTGAGGTGGGGAGAGAACAGATAGGAAGTGCCCTCGCTCCCTCTCTCTCTGTCCCTTTCACTAATCTAGCAGAAGCCACATAATAATAGTATCATCACAACAACAGAACTGCAGAGCTGGAAGGGACCCTATGGATCCTCACCTCCTGCCAAGGAGGCACAGAGGGGGAATCGAACTTCCAAATACCCAAGCCACTGCGCTCTCCAGCGTGGACTCTTTTCTTTCATATCCACTAAGGCTGTACTTCAAAAGGACACACAGCTAGGTTGACTAGACTAAACAAAAATGGGGATGCTTTGCCTTGCCTGCTTCAGCACCTGCCTCTCTGGCCTCCTTTTGGTAGGCACCAGCTTCCAAGGCTTGTTTGCTTCTGCCAATCAGCACATGTTCCTCCCTAGAGGCTGCAGTTAATTAGGGTGTGGTTGGTCTGGGGAGCATTTAGAAGATTTCCCCGCTGGGTGGAGTCTCAAAGCAAGACAGATAGATCTTGCCTCTTTCCCTCC